AAAAAAAAAAAAAAAAAAAAAAAAAAAAAGTATCTGTAAACCAGGTATAGGGCCAAATGCCTATAATCTCAGCACTTTGGGAGGCCAAGGCAGGAGGACTGCAAGCCTGAGCTCAGCCTGGGCTATTTAGACACTGTCTACAAATAAATTTTTTAAAAGGCTGAGGACGTAGCTTAGTGCAAAGGCCCTGCGCCTAATCCTCAGTGTGGGGCAGTGGGTAGGGTAGAGATCTCACTTTACTACAGAACTGTTTGAATTTGGGAAACTACCTGATATCCAATAAAATGCCCCGTTAAGTAAATGACGCAGCAAGGCCACATACAAATGTAGCTTTAGAGTGACAGAACTACACCAGGAGATAAAGATGTGCTGTGAAATGATAAAGCTCATGACTGCGGGTGGATGACTGTATTAGTGTCACAAGACTGGGACAGGATGACTTCTAAAAATCCAACCACCAAATCCAAACACAGAAAAGGGAAGTGGAATATAAATGAAAAGCACCTGGACACGTAGCTATACCTGGAGGCACTTTCACAATACAAGCACCCCAATTTTCTTCAGCAGTCGGACACATTTACACGACACTAGCACAGACGAGTTAAGTGAAGGGAGCGCAGAGCCGCCGGACAGCAGTGCCTTCCACCTCCTGAGTCTGTGAGGGCTGCCGGCCCTGCCTGGCACAGAGGTGCACAAGGACGGCAGTGCCCACTGAGCACTGAAAACTACACAGTGTGCGTGTCCGGTGACACCAATGGGTGACCAAGGAACAGATACAATACACACTTGCTACCTATTTGTTAGAAATCTAGAAGACAAAAAGCCTTCCTCATCTAAAATTGTTTAAACAGGAGCAAGAATACTTTAATCCAAGCGGCACAAAGTAAGCCACCACTTATGTTCACTTCCCTGAGAATAACTGCTCTATAAAGTGCAACCATCGAACATCAAGCTGTTCACTAGGCACAAGAGAGAATGTAACAGTGCCACGGGTGGGGCATGACTAAGCATGAGCGCCGCTCTGATTATAAAGAGTGATCATGAAGGAAACAGAACGCCCATGGTGAGACTCTGGTCAGAACACCAACTGGTGTGCGACCCAGCTATGGCATGGCCGGCAGCAGAGGTTCCGGATGACCCGGGGTACAGGAGCTCCTGACGGTGGGACCGTTTTCCAAAGATGTGCTCGAAACCCTGAAACCCCACTCACTGCACACAGCCGTCCGCAGTGTCACCTACCTGAGACCCACTCCCAGTCTCATAGCTTGTCCAGAAGGCGGCAGAGAAGTTGGCCTTTATACAAACCGTCCCGTTGCTGGCCTTCACCTCAAACATGGCCGAGGCACCGTAGGCAAGGCTTGCTAACTCTAGGAGAGACAGAGAATCATATACCTGTTTCAAAGTACAACTAGGCGCGGCCCCTCTGCAGCTGTAGCAGGAAGGGTTCTATCAGAGTATCCACCAGGACCTGGACGGGGTGGTACCGGCTGGGGCACCTCCAGGACACTTCCAAACTCATCCCATGGGTGACCAACCTGGTCCACAGCTACTCAGCGCTTCACCCCTGGAGACCCATGGAGTGGGGGTGCAGGTTACACATCAATCTCCACCCCACCCAAGCACATGTTGTTCCTGTTCTTCAGGACCTGCCGGTAGGTGTGGTGGAGCCTGAGGCATAACTCAGGCAGATGCTGACCTGAGAACCCAGGAGCAGGGCACCTTTCACTGAGGTCCTTACTTCTCAGAGCCCAGTGAGTGGTGTGGCAAGGACAGCCACGGAGTCTGAGCTCTGCGCCCGATTTCAAGGTGGCCCCAGAGCACAGTGGCTCAGTCTAACCTGCTCACAGGGAGGCGTGAGGCACAGCCTCCACTGTCCAGGAGGGGCTGCTTCTACAAGGGGTCACAGAACAGGGAGGCTCCAAGACTCCACAGGGTCAGTCCCGGCCCCAAATCCCCTCTGGCTGACTGGCCCCCATCAAGATGCCCAGCAGCAGGTGTAATCTCCTACCACAGTAGGGGACCAGTGCTGGAACAGATTAGAGTTCATTCCCAAAGACAGGCAATCTAGTCCTAGAGCCAAACACCATCAGCCACCACTGTGAACTGCTCAGAAATACTGTCATCACTGCTACAAGTTTGTGCCCACCCTTCCAACATTTACACACCTGCAGCCTGGTCTGTCACCCTCAGTGTAAATGTGACTCCATCACCTGAGGACAGCATCCTCAAGAGAAAGACAATTCAACTTGTCATTTAAAACACAATTCCCTGGGAAAGTGGATTCCAATAAACCAAATTCCTTTTACCCCTGGGACTTACACAAAATAAAGCCTACTTTTTAAACATGAAGTCAAGCATATAATAAGGTACCCCACATGCCTTTCCCTAAGCTGCTGATAAATATAAAAATCTGTTTATAAAGAAAAGTACACATTTGGAATTCCAGCCACTCTCATGAGGCTGAGGCAGGAGAATTCAAGAGCAAAGTCAGCCCAGGAAACTTGGCAAGATCCTGACTGCAAAATAAAAGAAACTGTGGTGTGGTGTTATACACCATGAAGTTTGTAATGTGCTGCAGATTCAAATTTGCTAAAAATAAGCTTGTCTTTTATCACTGTGCACTGAGGATAGTGTTATAAAAATACTTTTTAAATAAAAAAGGATGCCTATTATTATTGTTTTGCTTTGCTTAATCCATACCCATAATACATGGGAAACAGTATACTAAAAGCATTTCCAATGAATGAATATTACACTTTAAAAACCTAGAGAAGATTCTACAACCTATTTTTAATGCAGGGAAGTTTTTTTTTTTTTTTTAAGCAAAACATTAGTACCTTTCAGATATACATAATATTCAAGACAGGGAGTCTGTACCTATACACATCTTGCTGCTTTTTTCCTATTCGCCTCCCCGCCTTCAGTCTCTCTTCCCCTCATTTACAAAAGCTGTTTCCACTTTTTCCTATTTTTTCTCGTCCCTTCTTCCCCCTTCCCTTGTTCCCCTTTTCATTTGTTTCCTTTCCACTTCCCAGTATCTCTCATACATTTTGGTCCCTATTTACACTTTCAATTTCTCACACCACAGAAACAATGCAGTATTCAAATGTGTCCGATTTATCTCACTTAAAGAGTATAGTCTCAAGGTGTAACCATTTAGCTAGAAATGGGTCCAGCTTATCTTTAACTCCATTATATATAAAACCACATTTTCTTTATCCACTCATCAGTTGATCGGCATTTGGGCTGTTCCCAAGATTTAACTGTTATAAACTGTGCTCCTATAAACAGAGTTGTACATATATCGCTGTAGTATGATGCTTTTAATTCTTTTGGGAAGACACCAAGAGAGGGAATAACTGGGTCAAATGCGACCTCTAATTCTAGTTTTTTGAGGAATCTCCCTACTGATTTCCACAGGGGTTGCACCAGTCTGCACTCCCATCAGCAGTGGAGAAGGGTTTCTTTTTCCTCACAGCCCCACCAGCATTTGTTATTGGTTGATTTCTTGATAGCAGCCATTCTTTGTGGGGTGAGGTGGAATCTCAGTGTTGTTTTCATCTGCATCTCCTGGATGACCAGTGATGCTGAACATTTTTTCATGTATCTATTTGCCATTACTACTTCTTCATTTGAGAAGCATCTGTTCATTTCAGATGCCCATTTCTGGGTTGGGTCTTACACAGGGAAGGTTTTTAAAAACAGAACATTTCCACTCCTGTCTGTGAAGGAGGGGCCAGAGGTAAGGGACGCAGAAGCAGCAAAGTACACAGGCAGACATCTGGGCAGAATCAGAGTCAGGCCAGGCACAGAAACACACGTCCATGCCACTGCCTGCCCCCAGCTTCCATGGCTTGAGATACCCTCAGTGTGAGGGCTGAAGGAGTCCTGTGCCCTGACACCATCACAGCCAGCTCTTAAGAAGCTGTCCTAAATAATTTTTAAAAAAAGTCTTCTGGGCTGAGATGCGGTTCAGTGACACATGCCCAGAGTCCCGAGTTTGATCCCTGGCACCACAAAAACAAAATAAACAAAATGTTTTACTGACCCAAAATACTTCATCTTGAAGCACAGCCCACTAAGTAACTTAACAATCAATTTTTTTTTTTTTTTAACTCAGCAGATCTGTTGAGGGTATGAGCTTTCAAAGGAAAACAAAGTGGGCCAGGGATTTATCTCAGGGGTTCCACTGCCTGCCTCATAAGCATAAGGTCCTGAGTTCGATCCCTGGTACCAAAAAAAAGGGAAGACAAAGTATGACTAAAACAATTTTAAAACAACCTTTAACAGCACGAGGTGTCCATATTCGAAAGAGCCTTAGAAATTTTGAATTGCTAGAACTTCCCCATAGAAGCCAATTTGGATCAAAAGAAAAATTTCAATGAAAGCATGAAAAAGCAGAATTTTAGGAAAAATATATGTGTGGCAACGCTCAGAAGTCTTTAAAAACTGAACAGTGGCAACTGATTTGAAGAAAAAAATAACAAAGCCACCTTCGTTCTCCAAGCACAGTAACTGCCTGACCGGATAGGCGTCAGAGCCTGTCAGGAGCAGCTGCCCTGCCCAGAAGCCTGCACACCTCTCCAGGGTCACAGAGGGCAGCCTTGGCCCACTCTTCCAGAACACTCCCACTTTGGAAATTCTGCCGCTGTGGAAAGCACACATGCACCTAGACAGACGGCTCCGTCACCACTCACGAGGGGTGGGACCTCTGGCCAGGAGCAACTGCCCGGCCTCGACTTCTGTGTCCTCAAACAGGAAGCAGACGCCAACACCCAAGCTGTGAGAACACCTCCCAGCCAGTGCTGCCGAGCACTTGGCACTAGTTTTCAAGATCAGTGCAACACTCAGTTTCCTGTCAAGTCCATCACTTAATCATCAGTTTCTAACAAGAAGTACCAACAAGACAGTACTCATTGATTAGCCAGGTGCGGGTGCGCACAACTGCAATCCCAGCACCGGGAAGCTGACGCAGTAGGATCACTTCGAGTTCAAGGCCAGCCTGGACTACACAGTAAGACCTTGTCTCAAAAAACAAAACGAAAAAGGTATTTTTTTAAAAGTATGTTATTCAACAAGCACTTGTTTTGGGGGGCTGTCTCTTGCTATGCTGCCTAGGCTGATCTCAAACTCAAGGTGTCAAGGGATCCTCCTGCCTCAGTCTCCTAAGTGTGTCCCAGCATCCAGCTTAACAAGCCCTTGCTTATTACACTGTGGCAGGCACTGCTCAAAGTGCTTGCAAGTGCGGATTACCATGACAACCACAACAGTCATTATTACTGTGATTCCCTTTCACAGCAGTGGAGACTAAGGCACAGAGAAGCAAGCAACCTTACTTGCTCAAGGTCACGAAGCCAGTGAGTCGTACAAGTCTTCTGCTTTTCTGGCTGCTGGCCAAAGTGCAGGTGCCATGTCTGACCATGCTGCCTCTTTCTCCAGGGGTGAGGAAACAGGCCTCAAATTACAAAACACTTGCTTTTGAAATGAGAGACTTCTAACTGAGGGAGTCAGTAAATTAACTCTCATTTTAAAAAAATCACATTCATTTTTTCTTGGCCTCTTTTAATTCAGTATTTTTCTTCTTAAACAGTAACACACCATCACCTATGACAATTTACAAAAAATAAACCAGCCACAGTGGCACATTCCTGTGACCCCAGCACTCTGGAAAGTTGAGGCAGGAGGATCACAAGCTTCAGTACTTAACAAGATCCTGTCCAAAAAAAACAAAAAGCAAACAATAAAAAAGAGCAAAAACCAAAGTTCCATACTAGACACAGTCACAACCTCGAGAGGCAGGGCACAATTATGCATATTTTTTTTTGTTTTTTGAGACAGGGTCTCACTATGCAGTTGAGACTGACCCGGAACTCACTATGCAGCCCAGGCTGGTCTTGAACTCACAGCGATCCTCCTGCCTCAGCCTCCTGAGAGCTGGGATTAAAGGCGTGAGCCACCACACCAGGCTATGCATATATTTTTTAAAGCTACTTTTTACCTAAGTCTGGTTAGGGACCACTGCTGTATGATGAGTTTCTTTGGGTAATTCCAAGCATGGTGGGCCGAGCTGAAGCAGGGAGACAGACACACAAAAAACAATCAGCACACACCACCTGTGCTACAAAGCGTGTGCAGCAGGTAACACGGTGAGTTAACCTAATATAAATTCAGTGATACAGGATCACAAAATTATGGCCTCAGATCTAGTGAAGAACTCAGTCTTCCACCTGAATAACTGATGAACTTCCAAAATCAAGAGCAGCATTAATTAGCTCAGAACTTTCCAAAATTCCCAACAGGGCTCGTCTTCCTCCTGGAAAGAGGTCATCCAGCTGACATCAATGTTTAAAGAGTCACATTATGCGATTACAGCCACCATATGTGCTCAAGTTTCAGTTCACACTTCTCAGTGCTCTGATGAAATAAACAGTCCAACAACAGCAGCTTTAAGCAATCCCTTATTAATGTACAATGAATTAGTAATTTAAAAGTCAAATACGTTTTTGAAAAGATGCTTTTTGATGAAGTGCATTAAGACAAACAAACAAAAAAGAACCGTTTAGGACAGACCCAAATCCAACTTGTTAAAAGACCTCCAGGTCGGGTGTGATGGCGCACGCCGGTAATCCCAGCACTCTGGAGGCTGAGGCGAGAGAACTGCCACAAGTTTGAGACCCTGTCTCAAAAATGAAAAGAAAAAATCAAAACAAAATGAGCGTTTGCACAGTTAATATTAATGAAACTTAAAACTTATTACGTGAACACTACTCCAAGCTATCAGATTTTTCTCACCGTTTTAAAAGTGAACTTTGAAAACTCAAAATCAAGTAGGAACATTCATTCTAAGGCCTTGAGCTCTTCCAAAAGAGAACAAGACGGAACCTGGGTCGCCAACGGCTCTCAGAACCTATCACTCCCGGAAGAGGTCCCAGGTCCCGACAAGCTCTGAGCTCAGCACGGGGCACACTTGTCTCAGGGGCTCACTTTACACGACAGTCACTCGTGAGGCACAGCGGAAGAGACCGGAGGGGCTTGGAGCCTTTGGAGCCCCGGGCGGGCGCGCACAGAGACCCGCGTCTACACCGCCTGACTGAGCCTCCTCCGAGCGCCTTCCCTCCGGATTCAGAACTCGAGTCGCCCCATATGCGGGCTGGGCGGCGCAAAGGGGTCCCGGCCCGACGACCTCCCGACGCCCCGTACCAGCTGCACGTGACGCCACACTTGACCTAGCCCAGCACGCTATTCCACTTGTCACGTGCTCTCGACGTCAGGTGACCCGAGCTCAGCCTGCAGCTCCCGCAGCTCCCGCGGTTCCCTGGCTGGCGCGGTGAAATGGAAAGTGGGACAGGCCCCAGAGAAAGGGAAGAGGAAGCGCCGCGGCAGGGGAAAGTAATGCGAGACAGGGGGAAGCGGCGGGGACGGGAAGATGACAGGCGCCACGACCGGGCGAGGGCTCCACACCAGGATCTCACGGCCTAGCCTATGCTGGTATCCACTTCCCAGTCCCCAACCACACCCGAGCCTATGTCCACTAAAGGTCCCAGCCCAGGCCTGGGTTTATATGAGAGGGTCTGGCCGGGCCAGTGTCCACGTCCGCGTATCCACCCATGGTCCAGCCACAGGCGAGTGTCGATATCCTGGCTCAGTTCCAGGCCCACAGTCAGTCTCAGGCCCGTCTGTATCCCGTTCCGTACAGATGGTCCAGTCCTTACCGATCTGTGGATGGAAGCAGAGTGAAGGTGAGAGAGACCAGCTTCCCGCTCCGGGCCAAGCAGTAGCCAAGCAATGAGAAGTAGGTCTCAGGTGCCACAGGGAAACCGTGGTATCTCAGCTCCCCAAAGCACATGGGAAAGAATAGTTTGAAATCAGTTAAGTGTGGCTGCCCAGTGAGGAGCAGGTGCCATGGAGAATATAGTGGTGGGAGAATATAGAAATGATCTGTCCTACCAGAAGTCACTGAGGAGTCCCACGAAGAACACAGTACTAAAACATCTTCAATTTTGTTGGATTAATAGTGAAAACCCCCACTGTTTTAACTTGAGGCCTCTTCTGGTCCTGTATTTGTATGATTTTCCCCATAGCCTGTTCTCCCATAGATTAAATTTGCTGGTAAAAGGCAAGGGTGTCTAATCCATACCTACTAGCAGCCATTATGGGACCTGACACTTTATTCTTTCATTTAGTTATTCATCAAACAGTCAAAATCATTTGCTTTTATTTCTCTTTTCCTGAATTCTCCATTATTTTTTCTTTATCCAAGAATTTGTGAATGATCAGTATCAGACGGGATGGCTGCCGTGGTGACAGAACTTCGGGCACCAGACTGGCAGGAAGGAGGTGCTTTTGGGAGTTACCTGCCATGGAGCCAGGCTCCATCCTGTGAGCAGTCAATGAGAAGTAGGTCTCTCAGCTGCCACAGGGAGTCCTGGTGAGGTTCTTGGGGCTTGGGCTTGCAAAGAGCAGGCCACAAGCCTGCATGCCCCTTCTGTTGCTGAGGCCATGGCCTTGCTCACCTGGACTTCGCTCTCTTTTCCCATCCACTTCAAGATCGTTGGCTTTGGCTCATTAATGATACACAGTGAATGATAGTGGTCAACATGGGCAAGACTAGTATCAGAGTTGTAGCAATTCTGAAAATGAAATAAATGCCAATGGGCAAAACATAAACGAGACTTTTATTATACAATATTTTTTAAAATGCACACTCTTCTGTGGGACTTGAGATTGTTATTTTTTGCTATTTAGTATCTTTTTTTTTTTCTTTTGAGACAGTGTCTTGCCATGTAGTTCAGGGTCCTAAAAATCACAGCAACCCTCCACTTCAGCCTCCCAAGTGCTGGGATGTCAGGAGTGTACCACCATGCCCCGCTCTTTTATATGTATGTATCTTTTATATGTATGTCTTGTGCACATCTCTGAAAATTGCCCTTTGATTGACTCCTTGGAGAGTTAGTCCTGGACCAGAGGTAGGTACCATAGGATGTTTCTGAATCTCTCTGGAGCTGCTCCTGGAATGCACACCCACCTGTCTCCTAAGTGTTAGCTGCTGCTGTTTAGACTCTGAAGACGGCAGGTGCTGTCACTGCTCCTGCTGCTGAAATAGCTGTTACTACCTCTAGAATTCTTGATTGCTAGCGATCCTCCCACCTCAGCCTCAGATTTCCCTGAGGTACTTAAAACGTATTTGGGTGTTTTTTTTTTTTTTAAGAAGGTTATGAAAAAGGAACCCTCAGAGACAAAGAGAACCAAAACATTTTACCTTCTTAGAAAGCAGAGTAAGAGTTGGAAGGCACTGGCAGCGTGACAAATTATATAACACCTTACCCATGTCTATTTCTGTGCTCTTTGATGTGTGCTCCGAGAACCCTGGCCCTGAGCAGGTGCTCATTAGGACCTGTTCTGTTTAAGTGTGAAACAGTCTCAATAGAGCCTGTTCCTAACACAGGTGACAGAGACTGGAAACTGCAGTCCATAAGAAGCCACTTCTGCATTTGTGGCCTCTGTCTGCTTCTGTTTGACCACAGAAGGAACCTTCAGGTTAGTGATGGAAGCGGTCAGAAAACCACAGTGACTGATCTGAGTCTTCTTGCCTGTTTTGTTATTCAGGCATCTCCAGACAAGAGGCCTCCTTCATTTTCCTTTCTTCTTTTAACTTTACTTTTTTTGGTACCAGGTATCGAACTTGTGAGGCAGGCAGCAGCACTACTGAGCTAAATCCCCCGCCCTCTTTTAACTTTAAAAATCATTTGCATTGGGCCCAGGATTTAGCTCAGTGGTTTCACTGCCTGCCTTGCAAGCGCGCAAGGACCCAAGTTAGATCCCCAGTACAAAAAAAAAAAAATCAATTGCATTAAGGTTCATTTGTGTAAGACAGATACACCCACTTTAGCTGTCCAGTTGAGTGAATTTTGACAGTGCTGTGTATCTGTAAAACAACCATCCGGACAAGCTGTGCAGGTGCCTTGCCCTTCAGAGGAACCCCTGCACAGGGTGAGCGCTTCAGCTTTTATCTATCTAAAAGACCATTATTTCAGCTTCATTTAGGACTGTCTTCTCACTGAAGACAGCAGAGAACCCATTACCTTTTAAATAAATAATTTCCAGTTTCTGCTAGCCAGAGAGCAGCATGGTGCATCTACACTGAGTTGCTGTACCCTTCTCCATGTGTACATGGAGTGTAGGGTACCTGGGGCGGGGTGTTATATAAGCAGCTGTGTACATTGAACTCTGAATAGCCCAGAGAGTTGAAAGAATTTAAGGAATTTTCCCTGAGACCTGCAGCTTGGGCAGAGCCAAGTCTTGCCCTGGGTCTTCCAATTTCAGAGTCCAGCGTGACCAGAGGGGATGCCTCTCTCTGCAGTCCCTTGAAAGTTCTGATTGTACTCGGGAAGCATGGAGTCCCGACAAGGGCCCCATGTCACAGCTCACAGGTGCAGCCCCTGTGCTGCCAGTGGAGACCCCTAGAGGCTCTTGAGCTTCTCTCTTCACCTGGATGGGCTCTGTCCCCTGCTCTGCTGTCCTAGGGGCACACAAAACGTGCATTCCCCCACACGGGAAGACACAGTGTCACGAATCCCCTCAAAATTCCCCCTATCACTTTGAACACTTACCCCATGGTTCTTGCAGCAGCTTTGGAGTCCTGAGTGTCTTTATGAGGTATGATAAAAAAAAAAAAGTGATGCTTGTAAGTGCAAGGACCCGAGTTTGATCCTGGTACCAAAAAAACAAACAAGTGACTGCTGTTGCTGAGCACCATCAAACAGGAAGGAGTTCATAAAGATCGGACGCTATGTCTTCATCCACTTTACTCGCTAGAACTGGCACCCTGTGACTTCTGGCTCCTCCCCAAAGTCAAAATGACCACAAAAGGGAAATGTTTCCAGTCAGTCCATTAAGGACATCAATGCAACCAGGACCATGCAGGATTCCTGAGCTGCTACAAAAAGTGGTAAGGACAGCAGGATGAGTGTATTGACAGCGAGGGGAGGATTTTGAGAGGAATTCATGGAAATGTGTCTTTTACTGTAATTTTAAAATTTAAAGTTCACCATATTTTTCCATTACGGCTTATATCCCCTCTGACCCTTCACAGGAAGTTTGCTAACGCTGTCCTAGGCAGGAGGGAAGGGAGAAGTACTTTAAAAGCTCAACTAGCACTTCAGATTTTCAAGACATTGTAGCCATAAAACATCCCCCCCCCACACACACATACAAGGGATGGAAATTGAGAGGCTTGTGAGGCAGGCAGCAGCGCCACTGAGCTAAATCCCAAGCTGTAACCATAAAACAATCTGTCACTAAGCTAGGTGTGAACGCCATTACAGGGGCACACACCTGTAATCCTGGCTTCTTGGGAGTGTGAGGCAAGAGGCTTTCAAGTTCAAGGGCAGCATGGTCAATTTAGTACAGCCCTATTTCAGAAAAATAAAAGGGCTGGGGGATGGAGCAGTGTCCGGTTCCGAGTTCAACCTCAGTATCAAAAAATGAAATGAAGCAAAAAGTCTGTTATTAAAGTTGAGTAGTCAGAAAATGAAATTATCATATCACGTGGCATGGGTCACAAGAGGAACCAGACACAAATGGCCAGGGTCCCCAGCGCCCACTGCCCTGTGCTGATGTCCGAGGGTCATGGGACACAGCAGTCACATAAGGGTGTCAGGCTGTGTGCTGGCAGAGAGAAGAAAGCAGACTGCAGCCTCCCGAGTTCTGAGGAAAGTGAGCACAAGCCTAGAATTCCTAAACAGCCAGGCTCTTAGGCACTGATGCAAAACAAAACTGGAAAATAAAATGTCTCCATGCATACAAAGGACGTGTTTTAATAAAACAAGAAAACAGAAGAGGACTGATAGCCACAAAGGAGTGGGCTTAAGTACAAAGAAAGTGTCGTTCACGATGATAAAGTCGAACACATGAGAATGGCCCATGCCAGTGACTGGGCAGCGAGCTGGTACTCTCGGTGAGACTTCGGACATGGCTGTGGGCAGGGCCATTCATCGTCCCTAACACTGCAGCTGCTCATGACGACACCCATTCTTCTGACACAAAATTCACACTGCACAGGGGACGTGAGAAGCCTCCTGCTGACCGCTGGTCCCAGCTGCTGGGACTCTGTCCCTGTTCACTGAGTTCACAGGCCGCCGCACATCGGCAGTGGCCAGGCCAGGTCACGCTGTGCCACATCCTGTTCTCATACAGTGCAGTGTTCCAGTGTCCCCTCTGCACTGGGACGTAGGTCGCCTTTTGGTCTGTGGCCATCCCTGAATGTATGGACACTAGGAGTTCTGTGTCATCGGTCAGGACAAGATGGGCTGTCACTCCCCATGAGGGAGATGCGTGGAGGTCACAGCCTAGCCCAAGGAGGTGACACCCTAAGATTCAGGACACCCCGTCCTTTATGCAGGCCTGGTCCCACAGTAAACCACTCTAAGGTGCCACCACACCAGGTGCCCACGTTCCAGCCCCTCCTCACCCCTCTGACTGCATGTCATTTCTGTCACTACACCCTCTACTGGCCATGGCTGACAACCAGGGGCCAGGGCAGGGCAGGGTTGCTGTCACTTTCCAAATTTATCCCCCTGGATGGCAGTGACCAGCCCCCTCCACACCTGGCAGGGAGAGGGCAGGGTCTCCCCTCCCCAGGGCCCAACCCTCCCACATGGCGGCCCCTTCAGACCCTGGTGGCTGAGCCCTGGCAGCGGCCTCTGCCTCCTTCAGGCAGTGGCCACATTCCCCTGGCTGTCCAGGATTCTTCAGTCCTCAGCACTGTCACAGCGGGGCCCACCTGTCCACACCTTCAGTGGCCTCCTCTTTGCCAACCTCGGGCCCTGCTCATCTTGCCGAGTGCCCTGGCCGCTCTAAGCCCAACAAGAACTCACACCAACTCAACGGTGGGCTGAACTGCCTCTTCCTGACTTGGAGTGCTGTGTATGTTAATTGGTTTATCTTCAGCCCTAACATCTCAGGTGTTAACCTCTTCTTCCCTATGCGGATTTAAAAGGTGTCAGGAGAGCTGGGTAAGGTCAGCTACAGGGCCTGTGCTGAGCAAGGCCTGGGTTCCATCCCCAGCACCACAAAAACACAAAACCAAATGGCAATGTTAAGTTTTGTTGTTTTAATGGAATCTAATTCAATAGAGTAGTGGGAAAACACTAAGAATGAAAAATAGTATCTCTAGCTGGGAGCAATGGCACCCTCCTGTAATCCCAGGACTCTGGGAGGCTGAGTCAGGGCTGCTAATTCAAGCCCAGCATGAGAAATTTAGCAAGATCATACCTCAGAATAAAAAATACAAAAAGGGCCTGGGATGTAGCTCGGTGCAAGGCCCTAGGTTTAACCCCTAGTAGTGCAAAAAACAAAACAGAGAAGAACAGTAACAAAACAAAGGTATCTCTTTTCCTCCACAACTTTAACGTTAACCTCCTGGGACTTCCTGCAGTGTAAATAAGGGGGCAGAACCCCACTGCACAGGAGGCACATCCCTCCGGCCTCCCCACACTGGGCACTGTCCCCACGGCTCTGCTTCCCAGCCAGGCTGTCTCCACGCTGCATGGAGGTGACACGCATGCGCCTTTCATCTCTCCTGACTTCCTCAGTGTCTAAATGACCTGCAGATGTCTTTCATGCAGGTATTTTCACTTGCTAGCAGGTATTTTTATCCTTTTTGTAGTTGAAAACATGCTCTTGCATTATAGTCTATATTTACAGAAAGAGTACTTTGGTAATTTTGCCATAACTTTTCTTTTTAAAAAAGATTTTCTGCGTACACAATTATCTACTCTGCAATTTCACCTTCTTTCCGATTTCAGTGCCTTTTTCTTCTCCACTCCTTCCTCTTACCATCAGACTGGGCGCAGCAACCTCAAATAAAATGCGTGGGACGCTGCTGGGAGGACTGCAGGGACAGGAACAGGGCACACGTGGCCCTGCTTCTCACCAGGGTGCCCATCATCCGCCCCCGGGGCAGAGTGCAGGAGGTGACCAAGGAAGAGGTCCCCGGACAGGCGGCAGTCATGTCTCCACACCTGGTTTCCTTGTCCAGTGCTGGTGATTAGGGCTGCTAAGGAGTTATGAGGAATGTATAGTTCGCATACCAAAAAGTTTTATTAATGTAGTTTTAAGGCCAACTTAACTAGTTTTATTCAAAGTCTATATTAAATTACAATATTAATCTCTAAACACAATGAACTTAAAACATAAGAAATAGAAATCTATTTGGTCTTTCACAGACCACATATCGTAGAACTCATAAATGAAAATTTACAAATATAGAAATGATGATACTTAAAAGAGCAAGGATTTTCGTATGGGAACCCAAAAGAGCATATTTTGAACATGCATGTTTCAAAAAGGGAGAATAATTTAGCACAAAATCAAATTATATAAAGTTGGTATATTCCAGAAAATATTGCTTTTAACACTTATATCATGATCAAAATTCCTTTGGTAGCTTTTCATCAAAATGAAACATGCTGTTGTGCAAAATATAAAGCACTTTTAAATGTCCCCACAAAAGCATCTTTGTCACCGCCCCGCCCCAACATCACCACTGAACTTCTGCGTCCTTTGCAGTCTCCCCGAGCAGGAGCACAGCCTGTACCAGCCTGTAACCAACAGAACCCTCTCATGCTGTGACCCAGCCACCTGCGGGTGCTGTCAGGTGCTGAGGCCACACGCCTGCTGCGAGACCCTACTCCAGGCAGCGCAGGCAGAGAGCAAGAATAGTGCCTGCGCAGGGCTGGGAAACCAAACCAGACTTTATTGTGGCAATCACACAAATACTGCAGTTGAAATCAAACAGCAGCGACCCCATGCCAAAACGGGCTGCCAGACTCCATCTCGGCAGGGAGACCCAGACACACCTATCCCACCCATCAAGAGACACGCACAGGAGGCTCCGCTGGCTGGGCAGGACCGTGCTGTGCGTGGCCAGGCGATGGCGCTGCGGAGTGCGGCAGGCACAGGTTGTCTTGGCACGTGGGGCTGCAGCTAGAAACCTGATCACAGAACACCAGTCACCAAAGGCCAGACCCTCTGAGGGAAGGACAAGGACAGAGAGGCCAGTGCTTAGGACGCGTAATCATCACCAGCGTGGGCGCCAGTGAGGGCTCTGCTCCTGGCTGTGACAGAACGTAACACAGCACTGAGGGCCTCTGTCGTGCACGAACAATCACACCACGGATCAGACCCGAGAAGGAACTCCGCTCACTGACGTCTTCGTGTCCAGCCTTGAAGTTGTTCTGCACAGAGCAACAGAAACAATTTAAATGCCTAAAAGAACTAGAGGAAGAACTGGAAGGGAAAGATACATGTGGCATCCGAAAGTCCTCAAGCGTGGGAAGGACAACTCAAGAATCATGTCCTTGCCGTCCAGTCTGAGTGCCCACCGGTGCCGTCACGGGCCTGGTGGCATAGTGGCCCTGCTGCGCAGCCACCAGTGCTCCTCATGTCTGCTTCCCAGAGACAGCGGTGCGGCCCTCACGCCACGTAGTGGTATTGGTTGGGGCTGTCCTTGTCTCGCTCCATATAGTCTCTGTCTATGAGAGATTCTATCCTCTTTTTCAAGTCACCAGGCTGGAAGAGATGAAACTGGTTAGACGCACGAAACACAGGGGACTGCATCACCCAGGAAGCAGATATCACCACCACTCTACACCGATCTACACATGAACACAGATGGTGACAAAGTGAACAGAAGGCTTTTCTGAGGATAATGCTGCATGGTCCCCTGACCCAGTGCCCCACCATGCTTCCCACCTGTGCCTGGCGCCTGCAGGGCACACACACGTGGCACCCACTGGGCAGGGCACAACTCAGGCAGATCCTGCAATCAGGCAATGTCTTTGCGTGGAAGGGAAATCTGTTGCTCTCCTCGGATTTGACACTTTTACCATACACACTCAGCACATGCACTGCGTGTCCACATCGTGTCGCCACGGATGACAATCCTGCCACAGCCTTAGGGTGTGCTGCAGCCTTAGCTCTGCTGCTCAGGCTTCCAGACAATGAACTCTTCTATTTAATGACAGGCCCTACACTCTAGGAGAGAAGGCTGGAAACCCGGTTACCCAGGGCAGACGTAAGGGCACTGGACAGCCCCCGCCCCCTACTTCCACTCTGCCACAGGGTCTTCACGTGCAGAGGGAAATCCCTGGCCCTGGACTGGGCACAAGCACTGTGTCCCATAGGGGCTACACCTATCACCCCGGAGGGCTCTCAAGTGCTATCCAGTCCATCTAAACTGGGTGCCACCCTGGGGATGTCTACCCAAGCAGCACAGGGGCTTGGCCAGCTGCCGGGGGCTAGAATGGTGCACCCCAGGAGGCGCTGTGGAACGCCCTCCCAGCTTGCCCCACATGCACAGAAGAGCAACAGTACTCCTGAACAGAGTTCAGGGACGAATGCAGCAACAGAGTAGCAGCAATGGAATAATGCCGGCCAGAGACTGTGTGATCAGTCATCACAGCCCCTGTGAGATCTTTGGAGTCACCTTACCTGGTGGCAGAGGCCCAGGAAGGCAGGGCAAGTACCCGGATGTGAGGACAGTGACAGCCCAGTGCCTCCCTCGGTGGCCTCTCCTGTCCCACACTACAGTATTATGCAGCAGGACATGTACCTTCACAGGAAACTTGAGCTGATTGTATAATTCAGAGACCAGGAGATTATGACCCAGGGTCTTCCTCATCTTCATTATCCTGACGATAGCAGCATCAATCTGGTATTGCCTATCCTGAAACACTCGTTCTGTAGTGCTAACTTGTTCTTCAACCTGAACATAACAGAAACAAGCGTGAAAAGATATTTTCAGTAGGATTTCATGTTCTTGAGTTCAATGAAAGGTTCAGTCTTTCCTTTTGTTTTTTTTTTTTTTTTTGAGACAGGGTGTTGCTATTTATCCCGGCTGGCCTAGACTTGTGGTGTCCTCCTGCCTCAGGCTCCCATCTGCACCGCCCCTCACCTGACCCTGGCTATCAAGGCCTGAATAGGACCCACGGGTGTGGGCTTGGGGCACAGTGCTGCGATTACAGATGTGCACCACCATGCCCAGCAGCCAGACTCAGTCTTGAAGTAAATAAAAGCAAGACAGAGAATCTCGTTTTGCTAATTTTCCTTTGTTCTAGGAAAGCTTAGCTTTTCTTTTGGGTTTTTGGTTTTTTTTTTGAGACAGGGTCTCACTATGTAGTTGAGACTGATGAACTCACTATGTGGCCCAGGCTGGTCTCAAACTCATAGCGATCCTCCTGCCTCAGCCTCCCGAGTGCAGGGATTACAGGCGTGCGCCACCATGCCCGGCTTTTAGCTTTTCTGAAGAGCAAACTCTAAAACCAAAATTTTACAACTAGTTTTAAAAGTTTTATATTCCTTAAAGAAACCTGCAAGAATGCTGGTCAGAATACTAATCAGAATATTAAATCCAGCGGCAAGTCAACAGCAGGGCCTGTTTCAGAAATGAGAGCTCTGCCCACCGTGAGGGCCCCAGGGAGTGCCTGCTGCAGGCTGCACGGCCTTGTTCAAGCTGTTGCCACACAGCCAGTGGGACATGTTATTATTCCGTATCCTTGGGCAGCAAGAGGGAGAACAGAGAGCCTAACTGCACTGCTCTTCCTTAAAATCATTTCAGGGTTCCTGGCTATGCCAGTGGAACTGAAGAAGCCCTGGAAAAAAGCAGTCAAAAAGATCATCATGTGCAGATGAGCTGCAGAATTTAAGAAAATCAACTGAAAAACCAGGACCACTGATGAGATTTGTGTATAGCAGCTGGAAATAAACACACAAAGGTAAACAGCAGCAGCATATACCGTGCAAGTGTGGTGTGACAACCAGTCCCAGGGACACACGAGAAGGACCTCCTCACGGTGTCTGCACTGCAGCTCCATACTCAACACTGTGGTGGCTGCCACGCATGTCCCAGGCCACTTGAAACAAGCGCTGCCACACCAGGGCGTCCTTTCACAGGCTCAGCTTTCCCTACTGCCAGAGAAGCCATGACCACAGGCCACGTCTGCCTCCACGGCTCAGGCTTTTCTGCATCTCTGCCACCCAGCAGCTCTCAGCGCCAGCCAGTGCATGTGTGCTGGACACGCCTGCAGCTCCCAGAAGCGGGCGGCCACAGGTGTGTGTGGCAGTTTTGTTGTAGATGAACATTTACAACGTCTACTGCGATGGAGATCAGCAACCTTCTGAACATTTCCCAGCTGATATGAGAAGAGAACCCTGTCACACTCTCTGTGCTACTGGGGCACCCAGCCTGGGCGGGCTGGGCAGCCTGCAGCCCTGAGCTGCAGCAGGTCCAGGGATCACCTTCCTATCAGAGAACAGAGGGTGAGCACGAGCGTCTCTGGGCGCTGCTGGGGGTCCTCCACCATGCTCACCTCAGGCCTCTGTGCCTCACTCGTCATTGCAGTCTTCTTGGTGCTGCCTGACCGCCCCTCACCTGATCTTCACCTAACAAGGCCTTCTCAGAGACCTGCGGGTGTGGGCTTGGGGCACGGGCTGCACCAGGAAGTCTGCTCTCCGCTACTCAAGCCACTGCCTCTGTCACAGTGACAAACACTGCTGCAGCCCAGTCACAGACCCTGCGCTTGTCCTTGTTCGTCCAGGACCTGGCCCGGGGCCCCAGCACGACCCGGTTGTGGGGCACATGAGGCTGGGCTCAGGGCTGCTGCGCTTGAGCACGACGTGGAACATGCGGACAAAGTGCACATGTGGCCAGCTGCGTAGCTACAAGCTGGGTTTCCTGATGTTCACTACACCAAGAGCACCACTAGCAAAAACGAGGACTCATCAACGTCATGTGTTCCAACTACATTTAGAAACATGCTGTGGAACCCTACCAGTCAAGAAAACACTACTACCATGGAGTGGAAGGAGAAAGTGTGTACATACAGTTTCCTTCATCTGGATCTGGTTGATCTTTATCCTAAATAACTTGTGCTTGAAATCACCATTGAAGATGAACTTGTCTCCGTCTTCCACCTCCTTCCCTTTTGGACTCTTAATCAGAACCCGTGCTTTCCCGCAGGCCAGCGACTGCAGCGTCCGTCTCAGCTCACTGTCTTCTGCATAGAAAGAAAGACAGGCCCATCACCCTGCCGCCTGTCGCCAGGGCTGGAGCCTGGGGACCAAAGCCGCGCCAGCCCGCACGCGGCTCTCTGCCTACCTATCCCCGTGGCCATTCTGATGTCCTCAAAGCTGAAGCCATCCCCCTCGTTGAACATGAGCAGCACCAGAGTCTGGAAGAGGGACACCTGGAACTCCTTCTTCCCCTGCAAGACAGTGGCCATCATGCGAAGCTGTGCTCAGACACTCTCGGATTCTAACAGACTGCCTTTCAAATCAAACTTCTTGTGAGGGATTAAGAACTCACCAATAGTCACCCAGTAAGAAGAAATTATGTTACTGATTATAAATTAATAAAATGGTTATTAGGCATTACACTTAAAAAATTCCCTCTCCCTCTCTCCCTCCCCCCTCTCTAAGATGGGGTCTCACCATGTAGTTCAGGCTGGTACTGAACTCATGGCTAAAAATCCTTCTCTTGAAATGTTTTTTAAAGTAGTAAAAAAGTTCTTTCAGTTGAGTATGGTAGTATACGCCTATAATCCCTACTACTCAGGAGTCTGAGGCTTATTCAAATTCAAGCCTAGCCTAGGCAACTTAGCAATACCTGTCTCAATATAAAAATAAAAATTTATAACAAGGGCTGTGTGGGGGAGCTCAGTGGTAGAAGGCTTGCATAACACGAGTGAGGCCATGGACTCAGTCCCTACACCACAAGAAAAAAAAGAAATTCTCTCCCAGCCTGTGGAGCCTGGAGGGCATGGTCCAGAGGCCAGCTGTGCTTGTGGGCACAATGTGGCTCTTCTGTGCCCAGGAGACCTTGCTCACCAACTTTTACCTCTACTGCAAGGGCCCCCTCGTAGCAGTGATGGCCCAGGCAGGGGCAGTGCAGGCAGAAGCCCCAACAGCTGGCATGGTGGTACTTGCCTGTAATTCCAGCACTTGGGAGGTTAAGGCAAGAGGACTGGAAGTTCATGCAGAGGCAGGACTGGGCAACTTAGGGTCATCTCAAAAATTTTAAAACAGCAGGGGTGGGGGTCTGGGGCTGTAGTCAGTGCACAGGTATGGGTTCAATCCTAACTACTAGGGAAAAAAACAAAGCAGCAGTAACACAAGCACATGTAGCCAGGTCCTGGACATCGCACACCTGTTGTCCTGGGCAGCAGGTGTGCTGCCACGTGCTGGGGGAGCAGAGAGCTCGGGCAATGCCACTTCCCCAGTTCTCCAGGAGCACACAGGCGGCCTGTGCACAGACCCACGCATGACATGCCTCTCAGTGGCTGTGCTGCCATACACACGTGGATGCTCTGCACAGAACAGCAGTTAAGATCCTGCCACACGCGGTCAGGTGACATGCTGCTTTCACCATCAGGATGTGTCATGCACTCACTCTCCTTTTTTAACAGCTTTGCAGCCAATGCTCCTATCCATTAACCTGGGAAAACATCTGAGTGAGAACTTCCTGCTCTAGCTGAAGTGATTACTGGAAAGATCACGGTGAAACCACGAAAAGCCTCCACGGAGCTCTGGCACACACTGAAACTTGCTCACTGGCTGTGTGTGCATGCCATGTGCTAGTGGGGATTAAACCCAGGGCCTTCACATTGAGTTGCGACCTAACCCTTTTTACATTTTTGAGACAGGATCTTGCTAAGTTGCCCAGGCTGGGCCTGAACTTGTGACCCTCCTGCCTCAGCCTCCCAGAGTGCTGGGATAAAAGGCATGTGCTACCATGCCTGAAGCAAAAGGAAGATAAAACAGCTAAGTATGAGGAAGACTGAGGACAAATCCCTGTAGCTGCCAGCCTCATGGATGCAGCTCCCCCAGCAGTGGCAGAATCCGCTTTCTATTCAGGTCCAGCCTGCACCAGTCCCTTGGTCACAATGTCCCTCGCTGTTTCACTCAGCAACCCCTCCATTAGTAGACAAGCTGAGTGCGTGTCCAGGGAAATGAGTTTCAGTTTGCTATCGTGAGCTGCCTCTTCAGAGCTTCTGTTCTTTGTTCAGTTAGACAAATGACTCAAGGGATTCTGTTGGCTTACTGGTTTTTGTTGATTGGGATACTAACCCTTTAACTGTTTCTCATTTTATTGACCTAGAAAAGCTAGCAGTTGAATTTTCCTTCTTTGCTACCAAAGCTCAACAACAATTTGAAAACTGTTACCGCATGCAATGAGGGAGAGCAAGCGGTGCCTCACGGAAGGGAAGCTGTACCTCCTTAAACTCTGCCTTCAGGACGGCGTGGCCTAGCGTCGTCTGCCACTGGAGCTTCCGGCCGCTGTGCTTCCCCAGATAGAAGGTCTTGAACACCTCCTGAAGCCTGACCATCTGTGGAGCCGAGCGTGGGACACCGTCAGCACGCAGAGCAGAGCATGCTTGGGTCTCATTCTCACAGCTGGATAAAAACTGCCCTCCTGTGTTCTGCTCTTTCCTGGCTTCTCCCACGAGTGGAAACGCACCCTGCCCTCCGTCCTCAGGCCTCAGGGCTTCCGGCCACATAGGCCCACAAGGGGTCCACAGCTTGACCACACCTGCACCCGCTTACCTTCCCCTCCCTCCCCTGACTCCTAAGAATGCTAAAGACCCCGCCTAACCCATGCAGCAGGTGACAGCCAGGACCTTGCCCTGTACTGGGCAGGCGTGGCCATCATACTGACACCTGATGGACTGTGAGGGGGTGGCACTGGGCAGCCTTCTGGCCAAGGTCTGTTAAGAAAGCCAGGGTGCTTCTCTGGTGAGCTCCTCAGAACTTTGGACGAAGGCCCTGACAGGTACAGCCCGCCCCCCAGACCTTGGTCTAACAGCCTCCAGAACTGCAGGAAATTAATGGTTTTTCTCGAAGAATACCCAGGCTCAGTCAGTTTGCTACAGAACAGAAAACAGACTAAAGTACCATCAGCAAAGTGACACACAATGGAGTACTACTCACAATAAAGAAAAATGAAATCATGTCATCTACAAGAAAATGGCATTCAGCAGATGCAAATAAAAACAAGACTGAGATTCCACCTCAACCCATAAAGAATAGCTGCTATCAAGAAATCAGCTAGGGCCAGGGATTTAGCTTAGTGGTGCCGCTGCCTGCCTCATAAGGAGCAAGGGCCTGAGTTTGATCCCCAGAACAAAAAAAAAAAAAAAAAAAAAAAAAAAAAAAAAAAA